ACATAGGTACAAACCTCTTTTTTTTTAAAGTCAACAGAAAATGGAAATATACTTTTTAAAGTTTCTAATACTAGGAGAAGATATCATACAATGTCTTTTAAATAAATTGTATGTCAAAGATATAGTATAAATCTTAGAACAAAAATTAAGATTAAGCAATATTCAGAAAATTAAATGTTTCCAAACAGTTGAACTCAGAAAAAGTTTTCATGATAGCAAAGAAGTACTAGAGTAAAACATAAGATAAATAGTGGAATGGCAAGTAAATGACCAGCGCTTCTAACTGTTTGAGGATAGGATATCACACAAAGTTCTAGTGTGTTGTGGACATGCATAATGACCATGACAGTTACTGGTGGCTGGCGTCACATGTGGAACTGAGCTACAGCTATTTCTTTGAAATCCACCCTGTAGACTCAAGTGGAATCATGACCCATAGGATGGAAGAGAAGTCCATTTGTAGAGTGTGCTGATGAAAATATTCTGCTGCTGAACACAAAAGAATAACTGAAAGACTACTATTGTATACCTCTTATTCTCCTCTGTTTAATTGTTTGCCCTATTTGGTGGGTTCTTTCCATTCTCATTCATGGGGCTGTGATCAATTTGCTCCCTCTCTAGAACATCATTTAGTAGTCTGTGTAGGCTTGGCTTTGTCATCATGAAATTCTTTAGTTGTTCTTTGTCATGAAAATATTTCACTTCTCCATTATATTTGAAAGATAGTGTTGCAGGATAGATCAGTCTGGGTTGGAATTTGTTTTCTTGCAAGACTTGAAGTACTTTGTTCCATCAGCACACAACTTTAAAAGATTCAGCATGCTGACCAGCATGCTGTTATCATACCTAAAACTAAATCACAATTCCTTAACATATGTGTCCAAAATTCTGATTATTTTATAATTTTTTTTTGGTGGCACTGTGGATTGAACCCAGGTATATATTAAACAAAAGAAGCAGCTTGAAATAGCTGCCCCTGCTGGAGAGTGTCCTGCCTCCACTGAGCTTAGGAATCTTTGCCATGGGTGGTGGGAGTTATTCATTTTGCCCCTTCCAGGAGGTAGCAAACCCAGGTGTGTGGGAATCTCCTCCCAGAACTCCCTGAGCTCTTCCAGGCACCGTCTTCACTACAAGTACTCTGAGGATGCAGGGGGAGCCCTCTTTCTTGTTCCTCCCAACTGGGGGAGGCTCCAGGAATTATTTTGACTTGTAGCTTCATACCCCCAATCTCTGCCTCTAACTTCACACCACTTTTTCCTTTGTGTCTCTGCCTTTTCTTCTTCCTCTTCTAAGGGCCTTTGCCATTGGGCTTGGGGTCACTCAGATAATCTGGGATAATATCGTCTCAAGGTCTTGAATGGCATCTGCAAAGACCTCATGTTCATCAGCTTTCTTGTTGCTGGGCTCGACACCCAACACCCACAGCCTCAACGTGGAGGGGCTTAGCTTGGGTTATCATTTCAGGAGATTCAGTTCACAGTCTGCTGTTCCATGGCAGAAGCATCATGGTGGAAGGGCCTGGTAGAGCAAAGATTCTTAGTTCATGGTGGTCAGGACTGTATGCCTGAGAGGAAGGGACAGGGGACCAGACATAGCAGCCCATGTCACTCCTCTATGACTCATGCTCAACTAATGTAGTAAGTGTTTCTTAGTCTAACAAAGTTTAACACGTTAGAATTAATAGTCACCATGATTTTTCAAGTGAGGTCACATTCACTGGGCCCAAGTCATAGAAGGTGGAGCTAACTGCTTTGGGGTGGTCACACAACCCACTACATAGTGTGTCACATAACTTTCTATGTGACTTCCTTGAGCAGTTGAGGAGTGTGAGAATGGAAGCAGTGAGACAAGCTGGGGTGCTGACACAGTCATCCATCTGACAGAGGTGTGGCTTGGAGCCAGAACAGGGAAGAGAACAGTGGGCAAGTGATGTACATTTCAGACACAGGAGAAAGCCTGAGTAAGACTTGGGAGGGAAGGCTAGGCAAAAAGGATTTCTCCTGAGATGGGAAGAAATCAACACTGTAGCACTGAGGATCACTGTGGACATGTGGGTTGGTCAAGGACTTAGCTTTGTATATAGAGATTCCCTTTAAAACATCGAAGTGATGGCATTAAGTAAGCGGTCGCACACATTGACTCCAGAAGAGAGGTGAGTGTTTAGATAGAAGTTGGTGAGTTGCTGGTGCCACAGAAAGATTGGTGAGATTATCGAGGGAGAGAGTTTAGATGGAAGAGTAGGCAGATGGAGTCCTGGGCTCTCCTGCTTGGACCTTCAGGGGAAACAAGTGAGAACCCTGGGGGAAAAAGAAAGCAAAGGGGCATCCATAGTTGGAGAACCAAGATTTGGACTTTAGCTGGCAATCTGCCTGCATCCAACCCCTCTTCCAATGCATGCTGAGGGAAGGAGCCACACACTGTGGATTTCCCTCTCCCCCACTGGCTGTCTGTGTTAAGCCCAGGTGCACCTCTGAGTAGCGGTCATGAATCTGTGTTGAGCCCAGGCGCAGCCCTGTGTAGAGTGGGAGCACCTACAGTAGGGATACTCGGAGCAGGTGGAGAGCACCTGGCACTCAGGGGACCTTGGCCGATGTGATCCTACATCTCAAGCTGTCATTTCTGGGGCTCCTCACCCACCCAAGGAAGCCCTAGACCACAGCTCAGAAAGAAGCCATTTAGACAGAGGACACAGCTCTCTGGTACACAAAGTAGGAAATGAAAGGCAGAAAAGATGGGACACAAAGAGGGAGCTGGGGATGCAGAAAAACATGGGCAGCACATGGGTGTGGGGCAGGGACAGGGGTCAGCCTTGCATGTCCTGGGGCTGCTGGCTTCTGCCCATGAAGGTTGTACAATCTGTGCTTGAATTTCCCTCCCAGAAGTAGGACTGGGCCTGCTTTCCTAGTCACTCTGTGTAAAGGTCAATGAAGATGGTGTAGACAGAAGCACTGTGCAAGGGAACAGAGGCAGCTAGCTTAAATGGAGGGTGAGAGAAAAAAGCTTGGGAAGTGATTCTTCCCAATACAAGGATGCCAGATGCTACCGTGGCCAGCTGAGTTGGCCAGCAGTTTGCAGTTCCTGCTCCTTGCCCAGAGTGGTGAGGAAGACCCAGATGGGAAACTGATTCTCAGTGCCCTTGTTGATGTGGCATGGGTGGGTGAGCACCTTACCTTTATGGTCTTCAGCCTTCCTTGAGCAGGGACCAATTTCCTGGAGACGATTTCTCTACTTGTGGGGGAAGGGAGGTCAAGAAGATTCAAGCACATTATATCTATTGTGCACTTCATTTCTATTAGGACTGTGTGATATTCAATGGAATAAATGTGCCACTAGCTACCATGAAGACCCAGTGGGAGCCCTGATCTTGTCTTCCTGCTTCTGAGGTGACAGAGCAGTGTCCTCACATCCAGTCTTCTCCATAATCTCCTTCTGGGTACTGTCACTGTGACACACCCTGCTCCATAAAGAAGACATGATGTTGGGATGGAAACAGGCTTTTCAGCACTTTTGTGGCAATCTCAAGGGTTTTCCCCTTAACTTTAATCCAGGCTGCATAGAGGTGTGAAGTTGGCTCAAGCATACTTCTACAGCCACTTCATCTGCAGTCTCAGCAGCTGATCCTCCTTCAGAATGGAACGAATGGGTGGAACTGGCCTATTCATAATAGGGCACAGAATAATTCTTCCTCAGTTCAGGCATCTTTAGTAATTGGGAAGCACTGGTCAGACTCTTGGAAGCAGAGATAGGCAATCATGCATCAGCTGGGACGAAGAAGGCCCTGGCTCAGCCTCTTTCAAAATCTCTTCTAGTGTTCAAAATGTGTCAGAAATTACAGTGTTCACTTGTCACCTCCATAATTCTAGATTTTGGCTTTGAATGCAACCACTTAACCTGCCAAATTGAACACAGTTGTCACTTTTTCCTGAAGTGACAGAGTTAGTTGAGCAGGTTGAACATGACACACAAATAAAGCAAGTTTTGTGAGTCATTCTGTGTCCCTGATTTCGAAAAGAAATCTCTGGGGTGACTCTCATAGCTTAAAGCTCCGACCAGTGATGTGCTTTAGAAACCATCACATCTGTGGATACAAGAAGGCAGGTGTGCCCTGTGTCTCTCCTCTCCCACAGGGTGCGTGAGCTAAGGGTAGTTATTTAATGTAGTTGATAATTTTAACCACACCCTGCAAAACCTTATTCCATCTGGTACCATTTTCAGCTCACCAGTCTTTCTTCCCAGATGACAGTGCCTACAGGCACACTGAAGAGCCACCTCTCTGCCCTGTGGCTGCACTGCTGATGGACAACAGAAGGGCATGCAACATATCTGCATGCACATTGGTGCAGTAAGGGTTTGCACAGCAAACAGTAACAGGATACATAATTTATACAGTTATTTCATAGTAGTGTCTCAAAGAATCATATGCAAAGAGAGTGCAGGAGATCTGTCCACACAGATCTGCCCTCATAAAGATCTAAGGAATCCAGCTGAGGGTCTGGATCCCATGGCAGTGTCCTGCAAGAGTCCAGCCAAAGGCCCAGAGCACATGACAGTGCCCCCCATGAGTCCAACTGGAGGCTTAGAGCCCACATTAATGCCTCATGCAGGCCTGTTTCTTAGTTCTGCACTGGGAAGACCTGCAAAGCAGTAGAAAGCTAGAGAGTCTGTGCCAGCGGGACAAGGATCAGCCAGCAGGCTGAGGGCTCAGCACTGGAGTCAGGAAGTGATGCTCAAGGTAAGAACTACAGCGCCCCCCAAAAGCACAACAGCCATTCTCAGTGATAGCAAGGGCTTGAGCTTCTCCAATGATGAGAACAGCCCAGTTCAGATCAGGAAAGCCAGCTCGACAAGCCTCTTCAGGAGAACCAACAGCACTGGAAGACCAACAGCTCCCTGACAACACCCCCTCTTCCTCTCCAATCCTCCTTTTTATGCTGCTGACAAAATCCTGAGGTGGGCCCCCCACACCAGCACCACACTGGCTCAGGTCAGCTGATTGTTAGGTGCTTGCTTCGTAGCACATATACTAAAATTGGAACGATACAGAGAAGATTAGCATGGCCCCTGCGCACAAGTTGATTGTTAGTTGTCAATCTACCCCACACATCCTCCTGAAAAATACATCATACAGAGACAAACATTGTTTCTCTGTTGTTGACATCAGCAACCTGGATTGAGTATTGTGCTGACCCTTCAGTCCCCCTCTGTTCTTTCACCAGTTCAACCAGTTGTGGTGCTGCTGAAAGGAATGTGTGCCACTTTTTGAACCGCAGAATCTCCTAATGATTTAGGACAAATGCCCAATGCAGAGAACATGATCAACTGTGCACAGGTATTGCTGGGCTCCTTAGCATTAGCAATGCCTTCACTCACTCAGAACGATGCTCTCAGTGACAACAGATCTGGTGAAGAGGTAGACTTTAATACTTGCTTCTGTTCTTTGTCTTCATGTTTTTTTTTTTTTTTTTTTTTTTTTTTTTTTTTTTTTTTTTTTTCAAAAGCTCCAAAAGCTGGTCTGCTAATGCAGTGTCTGATCTCCAGGTGGCAAAGCAGTTTCAAAGGTTGCATGGTTTTGCTGGAGAGCTGGTCACTGCGTATTATACAAAGTGGACTGGAGAGTGTGGATTGCCCACTATGATGACCCATAACTTAAGAAGGACTCTTGGAATTTTCTTTTCTTTTTTTTTCAGGTGGCAAAACCAGGATTTATTTTGGAAAAAAACAATTGAATTGGGTTTTGGTGAAGGGCCCAGGCAAGAAGTGGTACCCCAGGTAGTAAAGTCCCCCCAAGGGTGGGTTGAGGGCTAAGCTGAGCCTCAGATGGGTCTCTTGCTCTCAGTGCTCCCTTGTATGGCTGTCTCCCCAAGGCTGTGGGGCAGCCTGGTGAGGGGTGTGGCTGGAGAGGCTGCTGTGGCCCATTCACTTGGGCAGGACACCAGAGGTCTCAGACACCAGCTTCCCATCATGGGTTTTAATCTTCTTCACAACCACAGCAGACTTGGTACAGGTGAAGCCACGGCTTTGGAGGATCCCAAAGCCAGGGCTTGTGAGACCCCAGAGGGTGAGCTAACCATTCTTGAATAGCCACTGGTGGTCTTTGTGTGGATGCTCAAGTTCTGCATCCCAGCCTCCAGCCTGCTCTCCTTGCCCTCCAGCAGCTTGTGGTAGGTAGTGATCTCAATGTCCAGGGCCAACTTGACATTCATGAGCTCCTGGTACTAGTGCAGCTGCTAGGCCATGTCCCACTTGGCCTTCTGCAGGGCTAGCTTGGTGTTGGCATCCTTAATGGCCATCTTCCCACGTTCCTTGGCATGAGCAATGGCAGCTGCCAGGGATGCTCTCTGGCCTCTGAGGGCCTCAATCTCCACCTGCAGGCAGTTGATGCTGTGGTTTATCTCAGAGATCTTGGATTTTGTGAGGCCAAGGTCATCTACCTGCTTCCCAGCCAGAGTCTGCAACTCTTCATACTTGATCCATACATGCTGTCAGCCTTGGCCTGGCTGCAGTGGCTATCTCCTCATACTGGGCCTTGACCTCAGCGATGATGCCATCCAGGTCCAGGGAACGGCTGTTGTCCATGGACAGCACTACAGATGTGTCTGAGATCTGAGACTGCAGCTTGCCCATCTCTTCTTCGTACACCTGCCTGAGGAAGTTGATCTCATCAGTCAGCCCTTCCAGGCATGACTCAAGCTCACCTTGTTCATGTACACTTCATTCACATCCTTCTTGATGAGGATAAATTCATTCTCCATCTCTGTATACTTGTTGATCTCATCTTATTTATTCTTGAAGTCCTCCACCAGCCCCTGCATGTTGCCAAGCTCTACTTCCAGCTTCATTTTCTTCTGAACCAGTGTGTCCAGCTGCCACCGGAGGTTGTTGATGTAGCTTTTGAACATGTTGTCCATGTTAACTTTGGGATGTCTTCTGCTGCTGCAGGAGGCTCCACTTGGTCTCCAGTATCTTATTCTTTCGTTTCCTCCAGAAACCAAACCTTGTCAATGAAGGAGGCGAATTTGCTGAGGTTCTTGTCCTGCTCCTTCTCCTGAGTACACATGGCCTGGATGTTGGGGTCCACCTCTAGGTGCAGGGGGTTCAGCAGGCTCTGGTTCACCTGGGCGACTGTGATGCTCCTCACAACGCCAACCCCGCCATAGCCACCCAGCCCCAGGCCACCCCAGAAGCTGCTGCTGCTGCCCATTCGGGAGACAATGGAGAAGCTGATGTGGAAAGCAGGCCTGCTGGTGTAGAAGAGGCTGCTGAAGGCCCGGGGTCCAGAGGTGGACACCTTGTAGGATTTCTGGGTCACCCTATGGACATGGTGGAGGCTGGAGTGGAGGCAGGTGAACTGAAGATGGAGACTGGAAAAGGAGCCTGGCAGCCGTTTCTGGACGGTAAAATTTTCTTTTCAATGAAGCTTCTTTATTTATTTATTCTATAATTTTATTGATAAACAAATAGCAATGAGACAGTTTCAAATCAAATTGGTAGGACAGTTTCAATAATTACACATTGCATACATTCTTCCTAGTGGTTAGTTGCTGTACAAGATGCGGACATGATATCTTATTTATAAACACCATTAGAACAAATCACTCTATTCATTAAGAGAATGTAACTATATATCTATCCTAACCACTTTGAATACACAGATACAAAACGGACATACATC